GCGTGGCTGTTTAAATCTCACTCACAAAATCAGAGGGAATAAATCAATCAGAAATTGAAAACACCGGAAGGCCATATCCTGTTGGAGCAGCAAGATACAAAGTGCTTGGAGTTGTGCCTGCACAGTCATTCGCAGCAGTAAGAGAGCTGCAATCTTTTTTTTTCACTCTTTTAAAACGTGTTCCTAGCTTCAGCAGGCCTGCTGAGCACAGATGACAGCTTAGCTGGACAATTTTCCTCCTGCAATGAAAACTTGATGTATCATAGTCTTCTGAAAAAAATGCGGTGTTTTCCTTTCCTACTCCCTGGGCATTTGTTGCAGTGGAGTTGTAGATGGTGGGAAGTGGTAAATGTGAAAGGAAACACTGTGCTCCATGTACCAGTGGCTAAACCATTTAGGTAGTGCAGAACAAAGACAGGCGACAACAGCAAATCCAGCATTTCATTTAGCATTTTTTTTGAGTTTCCACTAGGATTATGAGTTTTAAAAGGAGGCATGGAGCATGATTAGCTCTGACCTTTTTACTTAAAACTCCTCCTTTGTGCGTTATTGACCTTAACTGAGAAGATCCAGTTCTTTGGCCTACTGTTTAAACTGTGGATTAAAAGTACAAAAGGCACGATCCAAACAGCACTTGACTGAAACAGAGTTGGGTGAGGGAAGGTTTCCTTACAGCTCTCCAAGCGATAAGGCTTCCAGTATCCTTTTGTTTGCATTGTGGTTATTCAGGCTTATGTGCTGGAGGAATTCTTATTTCCTGAACTTTTTTTTCCTTCTGGCCTTAGCTCTTGCTTAGTGTCACTACAGTGTCGGTGTTATAACCGCAGGGATCAAGAATGGGTATCTCCTGCAGACAGGAAGCTGTGGGTGGGATCTTTACAAACCTTGGTGGTGGGCAACGTCCAATTCCAAAAAAGCCCTGTGTTTTGGGGTAGTGCAGTGGCTGCCTGGTGCTGCGTTTGTTGGAAAATTCCACATTGCTCTGCTGCCATTTGTGAGGACTTTGACAGCAGATGGGCTAGGCTTTGCAAGGCAGGGAATACTGCTCCATTGTGTTATTTAGCTCCACCCAAAGCGCTCCTAATCCAAAGTTCAGGAAGGGAAGAGCAAAGTGTAGCATCCTTGTGCAAGGATGGGATGCTGATAATGCCCTTGATTTCTTCTTTTCTGAAGGTATTTTGTGTGCCTGTGATAATTCTGTCTGAGCACCCGGGGTTCGTAGCAGACAATGTGTGGAGCCTTCTGGATTTAACACCTATTTTGCAGTGGTCTGTGATGGAGGAGAGGGAGACAGCGCTTGCAGACCCTCCTGGCCCCTGTCTGTGCTGTGTGTGGGTGGTGGTCCAGTACAAATTGCCATTGCTGTGAAAGCAGTGGCTGTGAAGCCTTATGACTGGTCCTCTGGAGAGATGTTGAGAGGTTGTAGGGGAACAAGTCCAATATTGTGAATGTCTCTAATTGGGTCTCCTTTCTTTTGGGGGATTTTCTAGTGGATTTTGCTCTGAAGGTGGTGCAGTGGTCAGAATCGGAGACAGTACGACTCCAGCTCTGGGACATTGCAGGTATGTTCAGATGAACCACGAATCGGTTCAGAAGCAGAATTTAAAGCTCTCTGAATTGCTTGGCCCTCCTTTCTTCTCCCTCCCCCCACAAAGGAGTCTGATATGAAAATAAATCCCCAAAATCTGTGAAATCAAGGAGCAAAATTGTTCTGCTTTGCAGTGTTCTTTCTAGTTTGCAGTGGTAATTTAAATATTTAATCAAAAGCCCATCTGCAAAGAACACAACAGCACAAATGATAAATTCCACGGAGCCTTTCTTTTCAATTTCAAAGCCAGAGCAGACTGAATGGGGAGACCAAGTGATTTGTAACTGGATATATAACTTCTCAGCTCTAAGTCCTCTGTTAAAATACTGATCTCTGGCACGACAGCCAGGAAGGCCCGATTCTTGTGTCTAAACTTGGAGTACTTCCATTGAATTCAATCTGGTCTTGCTGCTGGGATCAGAACTGGGTCTTGGAAGTTGCTATCTGGCTGCTCAGTGACCTGTGTGAGCAGAGTCGGTGGTTTCCTAGGGAACAAGCGTCCACATCAGAGCTGGAGAGGCCAGCAAGCAGCAGTCATGGAAACAGGACACTGTTACATGCCCTGGAGGTGGTGGGCCTGGGTCGGGAATGGGGCACGTTCTGGGGGACAGTACTATGCAGTGAAGTGGACTGAATAGCATCTGCTATTTAGAAAAGCACAAAAAAACTCTGTTCCTGGATTTTCTTAGTGCCAGAAGACAAAGGACAGATAGGTGTGGTGGCATCTCTAAAATGGCACCTCTGGATCTAGAATAGTGAGGGTTGTGGCTTCCTCTGGTTTCACTGTTCAGACATGTGTGCCTGGAATCTCTAAAAAGAAAACAGGAAGGAGAAGTTTGCAGCAAGAGGATTGCAGCAAGAAACCGATTTCAATTTCAGACCCAAAAAGACTTTTAAGATTTGGAAAGCATAGCGGCTGTACTTTCCACAGTGCTCTTGACGTAGCCTAAGCTGAAGGGGTTGTATGCACAAGATAGTCCCTGCCTCGTGGCTCTTCCCACCTGAAAGGGATGCAGTTTGAGATAACTTAAGAGTGCTTAAGTCTTGATCTGTTCAGAGTATAAAGCCTGTTGACCAGCTACAGAGCTATGTCAGAGCTCACACTGAAATCTATGCAGCGTCAGAAATGCTAGTTTTCACTGTGCTACTGACCCGTGTAATGTGATGTGAACACTTTGTGGTTTGTCCCCATCTAAACAAGCATAATCAAGCCATATAGCAGCATGGAGTTACTTTCTGGATACAGTTTTGGTAGTACAGACAGGCTGTAAGTTCTAAACAATAATAACAGCATATGTGAGTTTTCAATATTTTTTGTTTAATATCAAACTGTTTTCTTCTGAGAGGTTGGTTTGTATTGCTGTGTCTCCATCAAGCAGTCAGCAGCATGTATCAATAGTGACCAAACGAACCCTGCTAGAGCCTTACTGATGGCTGTGCTTAGTGGTAAAACACGCTACTGTTAGCAGGGTTTTGCTCTACGGGAGATAAAACTGGTTGGGGAAAGGGCACTTAATTTAAATTATTACTCTGAGAGTGACGCAAGTATTTCTGGGACACCTGAGTGTCTGGGTCAGTGTTAAGAACTCCCATTTGTTCCATCTCTCACTGCGTTGCTGAGGTGCCCAAGGCAGGATGCATCTGAATGCCTCTGTGTCCTTATTATTAAACTGGACGGTGTTGGCACCTCATTTTTTCAGCGGACATGGGCGTGTTATCTGGGTGATCAAGTCTAACAAAGAAAACTGAAAAGAGGTTTTCCTTTTCTTCCTCAAGGGCAGGAACGCTTCACGTCTATGACCCGGCTATACTACAAGGAGGCATCAGCCTGCATTATCATGTTTGATGTCACCAACATCAGCACATTCAGCAACAGCCAAAAGTGGAAGCAGGATTTGGACAGCAAACTCATGCTGCCAGATGGGAACCCTGTGCCTTGCCTACTACTAGCTAATAAAGTGAGCAGCTCTAGATATACTCTGAGTGAGTGTGTTTGTGTGCATGTGTGTATACACGCGCATGTGCATACTTTTACAACCACAAAGGGAGTGACAAATGGAAAGAGAGATCTTTTTTTGTTTTTTTTGTTTGTTTTTAGTCTTTAACTTGCAGTATGACATGGCAGGTAAAGCCTCTCCTGTTCAGAGCTGCCAGAGGGATGTCTACTTTTCACTTGGATGCAGTGTCAAGTTTCACTGGGTAGATTGCTTGCTGTCTTTAATGACTTATTTTTCTTTCATTTAAAAACTACCTTTATGTTCTGCATGTGCCAACATTGGCTGAACAGCCCTTTCCAGATTCAGTTTGAGACTTGCCTGATTTGAGAGAGCCTAAAGGTGGAAATGAACCAAAAACATGATGGGTGGGCGGGGAAAAAGGCTTTTCTGCTTCTCCACTTCTTCAGGAAGAATGCGTTCCCCCAACAGCTTTTTTAAAGTAATATTCTTGCCTGCATTAAGGAAATCTGTGTGTATGTCCTTAAAATAATGTAATCGCACAAATACAGGTTCTTATTGGACAGGTTTTCTCGCTGCTTTTTCATACTTCTTGTTGCCATCAGTGTGATTGCTTCAGTGGCACTACATCAGTAAAATTTCCTTGCTGTTGATAGGCCTGGCATATTTTGGATGAGTGACAATGCTTTTTTTGTCCTGTTCTGGATGAACCTCGATTCCATGCGTGCTTGACTGAGGTGTGTCAGTATCTCAGATTAGATAAATATATTGCTGCTTGCAACATCCCATTAAGAACCTTGCCCTAAGAACTCTGTATCAGACTGCGATCTTGGAGATGTGAGGGGCTGAGCTTACTTGCTGCCTGAACACAAGCAGTAAATGGGTGAGGGGAAGACTTCCCCTCCTAGCTTAAAAATTAAAAGGCTAAACTTAAGGTGACTGACTCTTGTTTTACAGTGTGACCTTTCCCCATGGGCAGTGACAAGAGAAGAAGAGGAAGAAAATGGCTTTTCTGGTTGGGTGGAAACATCTGTCAAGGAAAACAAGAATATTAATGAGGCGATGAGGTAGGCACAGTGACTTGTGATACATCTAAAGAGTTAATTCCCTCTTTCAGACACCACCATCTTCGAGCTGAGGGGAGATGCTGTCAGTTAGTAACAAATAGCAGCAATAACATGCAAGTAAATCTCCTAAAGGGAAACTGAATTCTGAAAGGTCAGAAGTTCTTCTCTCCTTGGTTAAGCTGCAATATGCTTTGGAAACAGAAATTCTCTAAACGATACCATGGATGTTTTTTCATACGCTGGCCTCTGCTAGGAGGATAGGCCTTCTTGTGTAAAGAGATGAGACATTCTTTTGTAATGTACCAAACCTTTAATGCAGAATTTGGTCTTTTCTGAAAGATATCAGACTGCAGTGTTGGGAATTGACATCTTATCTTGACATTTGGTAGGAAGCCTGTTACTGTCTCCCAGTCCTAAACTGGACCCAAGGTGAAGTAGTTGCAGTAAACTTTGTTATACGGTCATTGCAGCGTCTTCTGATGCTGCCAGATAATAGCAGTAATGGCAGTAATGCTGTCGTCAGTGCCTATGAGATTCCCTAGCCTGATTGATAGTCCTTAAAGTTCTGGAGTTTTGTGTCCTTCTAGAATGAATCGTTACTTCTCTTTTGTACTGCCTCAAAATTGTGTTAGCATAATGTCTTTCTCTCTTTTTTTTTTTTTTTTTTTTTTAAGCAAGCAACAAACTCATGTATATTTGTTTTCTAGAGTTCTGATTGAAAAGATGATGTCCTCATCCACCGGTGATGGAAGTTCCTCTGCTTCTGGAAGTGGGGATTATATTAACATAAAAGAGACATCACCACCAGGCTGGGCTTGCTGTTAGATGCACTTGCATCATCTGCCCTGGGTCTAGCAGCAGTGTCCTTTTTTTATTATTCTTAAACCAGCTCTCACTGGTATTTTTACTTGATAGTGAACTGTCTCCTGTTCAGTGCACATTGGTTCTCAATAGAGCGTTGCTGCAATGATTTTTGGGTGAGGAGTGGAAAGAGGAGAGGAATGAGAAAAGGATTCCTCTTCTGGTGTAGTGGCAACTGGAAGTCCTGCTGCTAGTAAGGTAGCACAGTCTGTGTCCAAGCATGTGGCTTGGATTAATGATTTTTAATTTAGAGCACTTCATTGCCTCACATGCGATTGCCTGTCTTGGGCAGGGGGAAGGATGGGGAAGGTATATTTTAATATTGTTGCATCTTTCATTCCCCACCATATGCATACAGTAAACACACATGTGCCATGCCAAAGTGTTACAGTGACCTCCTTTGGATGCATGCAAAGCTCAAGCAGTCTTTCTGTGCCTTCAGATTCCCACGGTGGGATTACAGCAAACTCTTTACTTCACCCTCTGGAACGACATACCTCTGCTTATGTGTCATGGAGAGACCAAAACATCTCATCATTGCCACTGTCTTTAAGATGCACAGCCAGGTGCAGATTAGCGCAATGTCCCATGTTACTGGACCTGTAAAATAATCAGTGGATGAATTTGAAAAATTGTATAGCACAGCCCTCACTTATGTGTATATTAACTGCAGTGCTTGCAGCAGAGACATCAGATTTTTGTCATGAATTGTCCGGTTGCCTTATGTTCATTTTTTTTCACTCATCCTCTCTAGCAGAAGCCTATGTATTCTGTTCTGCTGCCGCTTTATTAGGGCACCAAGAGCTGAGTGAGGAATAGGTTGTAAACTCCTTTGTATGATGGAACAACAGGCCTTTTCACTTTTAGAACACCCTGTAACCTACCATCTCAAATAGCTTTGCAATTGCTGACGAATTGCCTTCCCACAATTATTCTGTACTGGTGAGTGAATTTGGTAGCAGGGATGCTGCTGGAGATACAGCCCTCTGAAAGCCCACCTGCTGGTTTTAGTGGTCCAAGGGGGAAGCAAAGGAGAAGACTTTGCGGGACAAAGGAAATGACGAGAACCACTCCCCGCTTGCCTTTTGATGCCTGCTTTTTCCTAGCATATCCCCCAGGTATTCACCGTTTTTTCCCCCCCCCCCCCCCAAGAAAAATTAAAATCACACTTGAGTTATTTTAGAGTTAATAGGAAACTCTGTCTATAAGGCTGTGGTTATATTGCATAGTATGCATTTTATATAAGCATGCTATGCTATAGAATTATGTTGCCCATGTTTTAGGTTAAGATTTAAACAAGTGCTCTTCAATAACGTTTTTACTTTCTCTAGTAGATTAAATAAGGAGTATGCTGAGGGGTAGAAACGTCAAACAACTTTTCCTAAGAGCTAATCTGAAAACAGGACTATAAATTTGTCAGACTTCATCCTGAATTAGGATTGCTCTTTGGCAAAGTCTCCTCTGTCTACCTTTTCTAATCCTATATAATGTAGGGGGGGAGAGGACAGTAAGAACAGGAACTGATTACCTTCACTAAGTACAAAAAACTTCTGAATGTTTGTTCTCTGGAGTTGAAAAGGATTGATACGTGAACAGTTAAGTGCTATGGAATTTAGGCCTAGTGTTTTGTTCTGTTGTTTTTATTAAAAGCTATCTGGGATAGCATTCTGTTGTGCAAGTATTGCTGAATTCGGTTTTATAGACACTTAAATAAACTTCTCCATGAGCTTGGGTTCACTGTAAAAACACGTGAAGTGGTATTGTGGAGATAGTACCTGAGAACTTGGAAGTAGAACTTGTTAGCAACAACATGGAACTGTCCTGTTGAATTTTACTTCCTAAATATGATGTGAAAAAATGAAGTTTGGTTCTTTTTTTAATCCTAACACTTTTTAATCCTTATGGAACATAGGAAAAAGGGTCTGCTTTTTAAAAAGACCTATAATAAGATTGTTAAGCTCCATACGTTATTTATTGATTTCTGTATGTGCACCTCAAAAAGTTTGAGCAAAGAGTTCAAGTGTTAGAGCTGGCTTTACACCTGAAGAAACTGAGGCAAACAGCACAAGGTCTCTGCCCAGGACTAACTATCCAAGTTAGTAAGAGCTTGGAACTGAACACAGATTTTTCTAACACGTTTTCTCTTTCAACGGTCTAGGCGCTAAGCCACGTGTAGGAAAACATCTTTATACTGCTTTTATGTCAGTTTGCTATGCACCAGTGTGTCTTTGGTTTTTGGTTCTCTTAATTTTGTGTAAGTGCCTCTCAGATTTGAGCAAAAAGCCAAAGTAAGATCTTTGAATATTTATATTATATATAATTTCTGTTCTGGCCAGTGGTTTCCGGTACTGATGTATACCTTGGGGTTTTTCTTCCACACAGCATACTGCTTGTTAATATCCTAACAGACACAGCAGACAAATGTCAAAAACTAAGCCTACACAACAGAAACAGTCGTTTCTTGAGGTCTTTATAAAAACCCAACCAGACAGGAAAATGATTTGACTGTGCAAATGTGTTTTTTTCAGAGCACTCTCTGTGGCACATAAGGTAGTTGAAAAAAATGCAGGCTTTCTGGCAACTTGACTTAGTCCTGTAAAACAAACTGTGATTCCAAGGCCCCATCTAAACGTGCTTTTTGCCGTGTTCAAAGAATAGTTGCCTGTGAAATTGATTGTGCCCAGCTTGTGTTTGTTGAGCTATTTTAGTTTTTAAAACAACTGCAGGGAAAAATCCAACCTGTGTGAAGCTAAGTTTCTAAGAAATATTTTAATCAAAGTTAAGCCTTGTTTGTGCAGACTGGTAAAAAAAATTACTTAGTTTTCTTGATCTTTCAGAAATGAATCAGAAAAGCCTTGTCTTTATTCTCATGAATTGTGCCTAACTGGTGTCTTTGGTAGGAATGACCTGTTTTGAAATTGAAGACCCTTGATTTTTCCCTTATGCAGTTCCTAGTTTGACTTTGTACTCTTTACATGACGCTGGGCCAACTGTACCTATTTCACTCTCTTCCACCTGCTGTTACTTAGTGCTGTAACTCTTCGTGTAATAGTTCAAAATTTTTACTGCAATAAAATTTGAAATCAGGAGGGCAGATTCTACAGTTCAGAAATACCCAATCAACAATATAAAAATTGAGCTTTTTTTTAAAATGCCTGCAGTTATGCACGAGTATTTTAGAGACAGGATTCTGATTACTGTAAAGCTGCAGTATTATCATGTTTATATAAAGAGAAGAAACTGATGGGAGGTTTTCCTCATATCAATCAGTAACTAATGCAGTATTGCAACAGTTTGAAATAAAAGTTTGACTTTGCTTGTTTAGTGGTTGTTTTCCTGTCTCAACAGTCCTAACAAATGGGTTCACAAGTCCAAAACAAAAACAATCTTGCTGTCAAGAATTGGATATGCACAAAGCACGCAGTGTGAACTGTCCTGTGTTGCCAGCAAAATAAATTAGATTGTTTTCATTGAAACACCTTGCCATCTTGATTATTGTAGTCTTGTTGACCTAAGAGCTGGAGATAAGTATGGAAAGTTTTCCAATCTCTTGACTCAGTTATAGTGACTTGTAATCCAATATATCCAGCTAAGAGGAGCAAGAAGAACTCCTTGATGTGTCTATTTATTAATAATGTCTTCCTCCTTATGGCTCGTTAATTCACATAGTGTATTTTGGGTCTGGCTATGCAGGCAGGCAGCTGTGCTGAATATCCCTCTTTCTTTCCTGATCAGCTTGATTTTCATTGAGTATTGACCTCAGGACATCTGAATTGATCAGAAAAGTGGTAGTAATTCCAAGGGAGAAAAATTAAGATCAAGAAAGGCGTTAAATAAACTCAGATTACTCCTACGATTAGGTAACAGCTGACTATGTTTGTGTTGTCAAGCCAGCCTTTTCAGATGACCCTACACACAATAAACACTAAGTACTGCTTTTAATAAAACTGAGGAACAGGTTTCTGAAAAGGTTCAAGTGTAAAACAAATGTAACTTGCTATTGCAGAAGCTGCCATTTTCGTGGGTTGTACATTTTATTTTTCCATGGTGAAAACTGTCCCTTTTCTAAGTAAAATGAGTAATTATAGGTTTCTAGGGGATTAAAAGTCAAATGAACCCAAACCCTTCCCTTGGAATTTCTTCTGTTTTACATAATTTGTGCCTGTTCTTTACATCTGCTGACTAGTACAGGGAAATAATTGTGGCTGTAATGAAATCAGTGCTGATAATGAAATCCATACCAGCTGGACTTAATTTGGTGCATTTCAGCATAAGAAAAATATTTCACACTGAATCTAAGACTCATCAGTGTAACAAAGAAGTAATGTTAAGTCACAGTACGAACATGTGTAGATGTACTGTAGATACCATCGCACGGCATAACGTAAGCCGGGAAATGGAGTGAAGTTCAGCGCACAGAGGTGCCAAGTGCTGCTAGGAGCGTAAAACTAATCGGGAAGCGCCAGGCCATTTCACCTCTGCATGGCAGCGGGCCCCCCCAACCACAGTGAGCTCTGGGGTTTTGTTTCCAGGACGGAGAAGAGCCGCCGCCGTTGGTACGTCCGGGTGGTTTTACGGGTTTGTGTATTCACCCCCGTTAGCCCCCTCTGAAGTAGCGCCGTCTGGCCCTGAATGGAGGCACACTTCCATGACAAAGGAGCTGCGAGCGCCGGGATGGCGCTGGGATCGCCCTCTCCTGCTCTCACCTCCCTTCCTAAGCTGCAGCGAGCACCGCTTACCTCAGGGGCCCGCGGCGGGGCCCG